AAATCAAAGGTACGTTCTGTGAATACTTATAATATTGTTTGTTATGAAAACTGTTAGTTATTAAAATATAAATGTTGCTTTAAAATTGAAACAAACGGAATAAATGGTATTTGTGAGTTTCGTTTGATACATTGGTGTAACATTATTTATCACCCCTATGACATTGACTTGACTTGAGAGAACAAGAATTTTTCGATGCAGCATTCAAATAGAGTAGAGTATTCAATTTCAATTTTTCGACTAGTAAATTAAACATAATAGCATCGCCACCTTTCCCTCTCCTTTTTTGTTGTTGTTATTTCACACGGAAAAGATTTCCTCTGAGTCGTCGTCAATGATTTCAGGGGCCTCCACATCCTCCCACTGTGTTTCTTGGGAAGCAAACGGGAATGCAGTGGATGCTAGGAAGGAATTGTACTGCTGTGCACCGTAAGTCGGGAGTTTAGTGTAGGAGGGTAGAATGGGATTCGGGTAGAGGTTAGGAGCTGGATATGGGAAGAGTTGGAGATTAGAAAGCACCGGCTGAGCGGTCGTTGGTGGCGGTGGTGGTGGCGGTGGTCGAGAGCTCGCCGGCCTCGCTGCTGGCCAGGGCATGCCTGGCACTGGCGGCAGGAACGGGTACGCCAGTGGCTGGGGCCGCGCAGGTGGCTGCGCAGGCTGACCTGGTGGAGGTCCTGGTGGAGGTCCTGGCCCCGCCGCGTGGTAGGTCGACGACAGCGGCTGCAGCACGAGGGGTTGGTACTGCGCAGCGGGGGCGGCAGGGCTCGGAGGCGGCGCGTGGGGCGGCGCGAGCCCGGCGGGCAGTGGTGCGATGAGCGGCGGGATGTAAGGGTTGTGCGCCGGGGGCGGCCGGGGCGCCGAGAAGGCGGGCACGGTGGGCGGGTGCGTGGGCTTGGACGGCGCGGCATGCCAGGCGGCCGGCGGCAGCGTCGCGAACGAAGAGTAGCGGTACGGCGGGGGCGTGTGGTAGTGCGCGGGCAGGGAGTGGTAGTGCAGCGGGTGCACGATGGGCGCCAGCGGCGGCACGAAGGGCAGGTGCGGGAGGTGCGGCGGCGGGGGCAGCGTCACGGGCAGCGGCACGTAGGTGGGCGGGAAGGGGTACAGCACCGGCACCAGGGTGGGCAGTGCCGGCATCGGAGGGATGACGAACAGGACAGGGGCCGGCGGGGGTGGGGGCGGAGGAGGAGGAGGGG